TCTCTGATAGGAAATCCCCTTTACGCTAATAAATATTGTGTGTATGGCAGGGAATTGGCAAGCTACCCTGATCAAGATAGTCCCTGGCTGACAATCACACAAAACTTAGAGCAAGAAGCATATCTTAGAACGTTTCAGCCTTCAGATTTTCCTGATGCCTCCTTTCAAGTCCTTATGAACAACTTATGTAGGGATCAAAACATGCTAATTTCATCACTGCTAGCCAAGATTACAAAAGAGTTCTGTTTAAGCATCTATACTGAGTACACTCAGTAAAGTTTCAGAGGAGGCAATTCCATAAGATTAAAGGGATCTGCTGACTGAAACAGTCCTGTTTCACAGGAATTTATATTCATTACTATTTTGAGTTCATAACCAGGGGATGGGGGCCACTTGCCCAGGGCTTATGAACTTGGGCATCGGGGGCGGGGGGGGGCAGACAGGTATAATGTGATCAGCTTCCCAAACAGTCAATGAGAGATAGTGTGAGAGAAATAGATCTGGGGGTGTTTTCTTTTCACTTTTGTTTTCTACCTGGTAAAAGCTTTAACCAGTCTTTTCCTTATTTCTATTGCACTCTCTCTCCCTCCCTCCCTCCCCCCACCTTCCTTGGGTTCCAATGAAGACAATAAAGGTGACGTCTATAAAATATTAACTCCTGGATCATACAGATAAAATTTTGCAATAGATTAATTGCAGTCATGTGAATTATTCTATTTTTCAGATTTGGTGATCAGAATGTGGTATATAGTTGCATCTTATTGTCGTTCAGACAATACTATGTTGCATTAATTTCTTTGCATTTGTAGGGTGACACTGAATATCATACTGTCAACCTTTTCTAAGGTGTTTATTGATTTCTTCTTCAGGGCTCTTTGCAAAGGCATCTATAGGAGAGTCAAAAAAGTCAGAAATGGTGGCCACAACCTCATGAATGGAATCCTACTTATGAGAAAGAGGCAAGGTTTTGATTTCATTGGACATAGCCATCATATTGATTTTTTTTTTTAACTCCTGCAGATGCCCTGGTTGTTTGTCTACACTGGTTTGCCCATAAATCAATTTCAAATTATCTGTTTCAAGGTTTAAAAGAATAAAAGAAAAAATTAGTCTTCCTGCACAATTTATTAAACTGCTTGGAAATCCTGGATATTCAAATGTGAGTTTAATGATGCTAAGAAGGCATGCTAACTCAGTGGCATAAAACAGGTTCTGCATAGGGAAGATTCAGGTGACAGGGCTGGAAAAGTATGTTGACCTGCAGGGTTCTCATGCAGATTGATTTGAAGCCATGCTTCAGTGAAGATACTTAGCCTGCACTATGCAAAAAGGGGTCCAATTCTTCTGTATCAGTGCAGGTGAGGAAGTTTGTTTTTAAAAAATACCATGCTTTTATTTATTTTTCTTAGGAACTTTAATATGGAACATTAAGACAGCAGAGCATAGTATTTTAGTTGTCACATGAAAAAGCAAGAACCCGACATTTGCTTACTGGAGTGAATGACGTGTGTGCCTTAGACAGGCAGGTTATTGTAGGAGCATGGTGTTGGTCTATGGTGGCAAAAAATCAGGAGTGCGATAGTACCTTTTCCAACTAGCAAATTTTATTAAAAGGCTTCTGATGCTGCAGTTGTCGAAAGCTTACACCTTTTAATAAAGTTTGCTAGTCGGAAGAAGTACTGTGTACCAGTCTCCTGATTTTTTCCACCAGAGACTAACACGTCTCTCCTCCTACGATGTCTATGCCTGGTTGTGACTCAGTGTGATTCTAAATGCACTTTGCAAATGAAAGGCTCATGAAATCATTCTGAGAAGTTTAATCTTCTTGAATCTTGTCAAATAATGGTACTTCTATAAAATTATGATTCTTTCCAATTGACTCTGGGGCTAAGTACATTTCTGCCAGTTGAAGGCTTTACAGGATGTTCAGAATGGATGTGCTGTAAGAAAAATTAACAGAATCCCTCTGTTCCTTTTTTTTAAAAAAGTTCAGGCAAATAATTTATTTACTGCATATTTCATATGCATATATTGCTGTGATGCTTGTTAGCTACTAATATAAATGATTTCCATAATTATTTCCACTTTTCAGGAATAAGTTCTGTTGGATACAATAGATATATCTACTTTTTAGTAGGCATATGTACACTTCGCTATCAACAAAAACTAAGAATTTAGACATATCTACCACATGCATGATTGCAAGTTGTTGCTAGGGCCTTTTGCTAGAAAGGAAAGCATAAATCCCAGAAACCAGTTTAACATTTCAAATTCCATAATGTACAAACGTAGGACATATGTCTGTTTAAATAGTCAGATTTTGATGTTAGATATTCAAAAATATAACTATTTCAAATACCAAGATCTTGTGTGATAACTGCAACCCCTCTAAAGTTCTGCCTTGGATCCACAGGATAAGATAGTTATGATTTGATTTCAGTGCAGCTAAAGTATGAATGTCTTAGGATGCATCCCAAAGCCTTCAAAACTATCTACTGAAGGCCTATAATAACTCAGATGTAGTTAATATATCCAAGTTGTTTGACTACCACTAGGACTTTATAATAAACCAAACCAATTCAGATAAAAGCCCTCCACTTTAGAATCCATACAGATTTTTCACCAACAATGAAGTCTTTCAACATGTACCTTCAGAAAGTAGCTATTATTTCTCCTTATATGCATTCTTACACATGAGGTATGAACATGCAACTGCCAATTCATGCTTCTTTCCAATGATTTTGACATGTTCTTCTCTATTTCAGGGATCTGAAGGAACATTTAAATATTGGGGCACATTGGTTTATCTAACGTCTGGTCATCTGTCCTAGAGAGCCAGACTGGTATAGTGGTTAGGGTAATGGGCTAAAAACCAGGAGACTATGAGTTCTAGTCCTGGGTCAATCACTCTCTCTCATCCCAAACATCACATGGTTGTTTTGTTGGGAAAGTAGAAGTTAAGAGTATTTTGGTATTTATACTGCCTTGAATTAACCAAAATTTACTAGCCTTCCTGCTCCCTTTATGGTTTCTGTCTAAAGCATGCACATGATGATGCTGGCTAGCCAAACCAGAATATTACTGACATTGGTATTTTATTCAGTGTTTGCTTAATTTTGTTTCCTGTGAATGATCTTCTTCAATCTCACTAGCATAGTCATTCTTAGAGTCTGTAGTATATTAAACAAAATTCAACATCTTGTTATTTATACATTTTTAAGCGGCCTTAGGCATTACACAGAACCAAGGAGGAAACAGAAAGTGACAGGCGGCCAAGTTCTGCTTGTTTTCTTTCTTGGAAGCCTCTTAATCAGAATCCTTTCTAACCAGAGCAGAAAGGGCAGACCACGAATCCACAGCCACTATCCAGTTTTTGTTTATCTTTATTTTTCTTTGTACCATTGAAGAGGGTAATGTAGACTGTTCACGATTCCTCTGCAGCCCTGCTTTACTGAGGGAATTTGTTAGAAGAATTTAGCCATCCATAGTCATTTGTCCAATATGACTAATATTCCTAAGGCGGAACCTCTAAGATTCTTCCAAGAACTCTTTTGAACACTGTTTCAAATCACTTTTGTGGAACAGAAATGGCCTAATATTTCATGTGAGCTTCTCAAAGAGTCTATGCACTTGAAAGTATAACTCGAGAGGATAGCAATCTTTTCATTTGACAAACAGCAAATCCATTTCTGCAATTCTCAACTGGCATTTATCTGAATGAACGGATTTTATCTTTCCTATTCTGAGGTAAGTGCTAAGTGTTGGGCTTTGTTGTCAAGAAGAGTTCATCACTGTTCATGATAACATAGCTTCTAAACTACATACTAGATACTGTTAGTACCTCTGATAAGATAGAGAAAATAACCTAAGCAATCAGAAATTTGATTCACATACCATAGCCTGGTCCATTCCAGTATTCTCTAACTTGGTACCCTCCAGATGTGCTGGACTTCAGCTCCCATCACCCCAGCCAGAAGGTGGATGATAAAGGTGCAAGGCCAATGCATCCTGAGGGCACTAAGTTAGGTAAATCTGATCAACACTGACTGGTTATAACCCCCTAGAATCTCAGGCAGGTTTCTTTTCCAGACCTGCCTTGAAAAATTCGGTTCTGAACTTGAGAGCTTTTGCACATAAGTCATACTCTCAGTCACAGAATTACAGTCCTTTCCTGATGAATGAAATATCAGTAATAGTCTGAAAGATACTAGCAATATACATTAAAATAAATAAATAAAAAAAGATATGTGCTAAGGCTATATATAGTATTGCTGATCTAAGAAAATACATAAATCTTCACAAGGAAGTCTTGTAGTAACCTCAAGGCCAGTGTTAAGAGTATTCAGCAGCATTAGTTATATGTCAGCCTTGAACTTCTATGGATATCATTCAGGGTTTCAGTAGCAGAGACAAAGAGATTTACAAAGTGGAGAAATAAGATTCTCCACAGTTCCAAGGCTACTTTTGGATATATTCAGGATTGAATTGCCAAGTGAGGAGCAGGGTATATTTCAGGAGCACTTGGAATTATTTTCCAAGCATTGTTAATAGAGACCCATCTATTTTTTTTTTTAGTTCCTAATTTAGCATATATTCTTGTTGTACACCAGACATGGAGACCAAGTGAATGTTCAAAACCTCAATTCATAGTTATGATGTGATGAGTTTAAGAAATATGAGCCTTCAAAATGTATTTGATTTATGTTTTCCAGGAGCTCAAAACAGTTTACATGGGGATCTCCATTTTATCCCCACAAATATTGCTCCATGTGATAGGCTGGGCTGAGAGGAAGTGACTGGCCCAAAGTCACTGAAAAAGTTTCCATGGCTGAAGATGGCCATGAACTTGGGTCTCTCTGGAACTAGTTCAACACCTTAAGCACTACACCTTTCCCACTTCCTTTCCTCTCACAAAGTGATGACTCTAGTAGACTAGTTCCTTAAAGAATAGTGAAACAAACAGATAGAAGTATACCTTTTATTCCATTTATATGTGCATTTTAAATTCAGTACAAATATAGGGGGCAGTCCCATAGTTCCTAAGGCAGTCAACATCTCTTTCTACATAAGACCATTCAACAGAAAACAGTGTGTGCATAAAAATACAACACCAATCTCTTATCTTGTAACCTTTAAGAGATGTTGCTCCATTTGTACCATTTGGGGTAGCAATGTTCCCTTTTTGACAATGATACTACTTTGGGAGTAAATATTGGCACTGTAAATGATTTTTATTGTAGTATAGGGTTGAACTCTCTTCATAGACCAATAAAAAATAAACTCTGTAATAAATAAATATTTAAAATAAATATATGCACTCTGAAGATATATAAATTAGGTCCATCCTGAAGGGAAAAATAAATCCGGATTTTGCTGCCCAGTTACCATAGTCTTCACAAAGCTCCATGTTAACCATCCACATGGGTGTCAGTGATGTTAACTAGCCATTTTCTCCTAGTTATCTACAGCCCAACTCCCATTCACTTTAGGTAATTATTTATGCTCCAAGTACAGGATGAAGTAATCCAGAGCAGTTTTGTTAAGTCCAGTTCAAACTTCTCCTTGACTAGCACAGAATGAGCAAACCTAAAAGAGGCTGGCCAACTAGACTTTAAGATCCATTCTCCTAAATCCAGAGATTAGGCATGAAGGTTTGTCTACCACTAAACAGCTTCACTGATGCCTGCTTTCTAGATCTCAATAATTTTCAACATTTAGAAGTTTCTCTTGCTTTTGGGATGTGGAGGCTAAGATCCTGTTCCTCTCCTGTGGTTGACTTCAACTGATTGCTAACACGTCCTTGTAGAGCTCTGGCACTCTTTCTGGATCCACCGGTCTGGGCAAGAAATGGGTGAATTTCTGATGCCTTTTGGACCTTGCCCCATCTCTGGGACTGCCATCTTTGTTAAGTGCCACAAAGTACCGCCGGCCTGAGTCCCCATGCTTGTACACATTGGAGGAGTAGGTGTTATACCAGTTCTCTTCAAACTGTTCTCTGAAGACACATTCAGGAGTGAGCTTCTCCTATGGGGAGGGAAAAAGAAATCTCTTCAACTAAAATATATAGTCAGAGAGATATAGAGATGATAACGCTAGAGGCAGAGATAATCCTATGTTGATTTTTACCTCAAAAAGTATGTTTCTTTCAGGTGCTGAGATATTTTTCCCAGTTTTATTTCTTCACTGTTTTCAGAATAGTAGTGGTATATAAATAAAGATAGTGTTTTAATACATGATCCTCTTCTGCAGAGGATTTTTTATCATCAAGGAAAGAAAGAAGATATCCCAGAGCTCTCCCTGTTAAAGAACAACAATTCCTGTATTTCTGCCTTTATTGTATAAGATCTTCTCTTTCTGCCTCCTTTTCATTCCCACAAGCAAAAAAATGAGCTTAGGTAGCAACTGGCTTTATAAGGCTAATGCCTGCAGTGAAATATTAGCTGCCATACAGCTATGGACACCTTTTAGTCTTCTGGACTAGTGATACTTATGTTTCCTTCTCCCTATCACTCCTAGTTATTTGGATCTATTTCTCCCTCAAAACCTACATTATCTATACGCATACAGTACTTCCCAAACAAGCTGTGCTCTAAGTTATTTTATGCACTAGAGCAAACTTTGCAGATTTTAACATTGTTCTTCTTTTGTTCTGTTTTATGACTGCATTTCTATCCTGCCCTTTCTCTGAGAAGGTAGCTTACTTCGGAAACCCCTAATTTTATTCCCACAACAATGACATTGTGAGGAAGTTGGGCTGAGGTAGGCCCCAAGCTATTCAATGAGGCCTTCAACTTGGATCCCCCTCTCCAAGCCTCACACCTTAGCCACTAGTTACCTCTGCTGACCTAGGGTTACACTAGCCTCTCTTTGCTAAGGAGTTTCTACTTCATATCTGGGAAGCCTCTGAGTATTACAGCAGATTCTAAGCAGGGATGTCTGCAGGCAGTGATCAAAAAATCAAGGCAGCCCCCATGGTATGACTGAAGCTCCATCTGAATCTCCACCCAAGATCTCTGCAGCTCAAAAACAAGCAGAGCTTCCATTACACCATTGCGGCCCCATCTTGAGACATATTTTACCACATCCTGAAGATGCTCCTAGCTTCTCAAGTTAGTCTGAGTTTACAGGGCACACTGCCTCATTGGCTAGAACCATGTTGTCTCCTCTTGTATAGACTAAAAAGCTCGTCCTAAATTGGATACAATGCTGCAGGGATGAGGGCAATAATTAGCAGAACTTGTCTGCCACTGAGGAAGGGAAATAACTCAGGGGAGAACATACTTTTCCTGCAGATGTTGTTGAGTCCCTTTGCTAAGTGGCAAATGAATTCCTTTACTAAAAGGTGAGGTGGGTAACCATTTTGCATCTGAAAGCCACAGTTGTGTTGATTTTTAGCTGTCTTTTTGGTTTTGTTTCCTATCTCAGACTGGTTGAGAATTGCACTGAATTTTGGCAACCAGGTTTTAGGAAACTCTTAGGGTATAAATACATGAAGATGCAAACAGTGTGGGAGCCACATTTCCTGGAACTGAGTTAAATAATCAGGTAGAGAGGTATAGAAAGGCCCCTCAGAAACTGGGAGAGAATGCATTTGAGCCAGATGGATCCATGGTCCAACTCTATAAGGCTGTGAAGTTATTGTCATTGCATTGATGAAACTCAGGTAAGTTTCAGGGTGTTTCACTTAACATCTTAAGTTATCAAAATATAACCACATGATGTTAGCGGTGCAGTTTATTTCAGATAGTTCTCACTTAGTGTTAATCCAGTGAGTACCTTCGAACTATTTTTCCTATGATAAGTAGCTACTATAAGTCTGTGATCCCTCTTGTATTGATACCAGTGGCAAATTTCCCAGGGATTATAAAGATTACTGCTAATGTGAGTCTGTAATATGAGCTGGGTGATATGGTAGTAATACTTACAGAGCCATAAAGCTCTCCTTTCTCATTCATTCCAAGGTAAAGGCCACTGTCCACCCCTCGAATACTGACTAATCCCACTGCCACACTGATGAATTCAAGAATACCTGTATTGAGAAAAGAAAAGATTTGTTTTTAAGGTTTAATTAAGAACAGTGCAGTTAAGTCTCATGTATTAAATATAGAGATAGATGCAACATTTGTTACACACAATTAAATGTGTGATTGATACAGTATGCAGAACGGTGTTATCGAAGTATAAATGTCTTAGTAATAATGGAGCACTATGATATATATTGGGTTGATCCAATAAAAAATAAGCCTTGTTAAAACATCCCATTGATTTCAGTAAAGAGCTGAGTTGTCCTTAAATCTCTCCAGTTGAAATACACAGGGTTTACAAGGGAACTTTGGCTGATTGTGCCATTCTGTGTTAAATAATAACAGTGTTCAAATATTTGGATTGTTAGAAAGAAAAGCTTTTGATAGCTGATACACACACACACACACACACACACGTTTTCCTTTGAAATAAATGCCATGTGCTTTAGCAAAAGTGTTGAAAACCTATGTTTTTCAACATTGTTCTATTTTCTGAATTATTTTCTCTCTAAGGAAAGCTAATGATTTTTATCATTTGGAGCCTTTGGAGTTTAACTGAAAAAATATTTGAGACTTGGGATGTCTTGCTAATGTAACAGGGTAGCCAAATCTTCTGCAAAGATCAGATATTCAGTATTTTATAAAGACTGCATACTCCACATTTTCAGTGCCAATAAATCATCAGAGATTTTGGAGTTCCCAATATTCAAAGTTCCATTGAAAGATATGGGAGGTATTCTGTCTTTCTGATATCATTTTCAAAGACAAGTTTTTCCTCCCCAAATCATAATAAGCAGGTGATTTAACCAACAAAGAAACCACATCAGACAAAGTTACTGAGAATGGTGATAGAATAAAGAAGCCCCAAGAATGTTTGATCTCAATCTCAAACTTTTTTCTTTCTTCTTATTTTGCAATTATACCATGTTTACATGCTCTAAGAAGCTGCTCTTCTGTACAGAATTTTCGGCTGAACTAGAGTCGAAACAAAACTGTTCCCAGTATTTTGTTTGTCAGTTAAGATCTCTTAGAGCAGATTGTTGGGACCAGTGAAAAATATCAGCTGCACTTAATAGTAGTAATAATATATTTTGTAGATATTCATGTACCAACCACTAAGTAGTAGGTTTTTTCAGAGAAAACTTTCTCTTCAGAGACTTTCAACACTCATTTGTTTGCCCTCCCTTACACATTTAGCAACCTCTTCCATTCAGCATTTAAATCCCCTGTAGTCCCTAAATAAAGTCCTAAATAAACCAGTCTAATACATTGCAGAGATTTAGATCTTGGATCAGTATCTATATATAGTGTGTGTATGTGTGTGTGTATACACACACACACTATATATATATATAATGTCAGATAGGTTCCTGCAGCATGCACAATCTAACACTGCTTTATATTGGACTCACTGGGTGGTATTCTGTATCTTTCTCAGCTTTACTTTCCAATCTGCAAAATGGGCACAGCGAAAACTGAAGGGTTGGTTGTGAGAATAACTGAACCATTTCAAGGCCGAACTCTTTTTTGTTTTCTTGCTTGTCTGCAAGAATGTATAGTGCTCAGCTCACATTTCCATTTCCTCTGGAATTAAAGCCTCTTGGCAGTATGATCTGTAGCTTCTGTCCTCTGTGCATACTAAGTTAAATTCAACTGCATGTTCCTGGGCAATCCTGCATACATTTCCTTATGCACAATTCCCACTGGAATATTGAAGGGCTGATACCCATGGCCACAGACACAGGAGTGCATTGTAAACAACTATATATAGCAAAACATACAATTACTAAAAAAAAAAAAGAAGTGAAGTACTAGAGAAATTAGAATGAAAGACTGAAATTGGCAAACCGTTATAACAGCTCTCTCAGTCAGAGCAATACGTCTGAGTTTATATGGATTACAATTATAATACATGTAATAGTTTTGCATGTATATACACCCGCATCTTGCTTTTAGCACACATCTGACTTAGAAAACCTTAGAGCTTGATTTTGAAAATGAAAAGTCCTGACATTGGTATCCTTTGATTAGAAACCATTGTCCACATCAAATAATGTCATCCTTCCTACACTGAAATTTCTTCCACTGTATGATAACGGTGGTCAGTGTCTTAGATGCGGGGTTGCGTGGAAGCTATGCTTGTCAGTTTTCAAGCCTCATGGTAAACAGTCTGACACATGTTTATGCAGTTGCTCCATGGGACAACCTGTATGTAATGTCAAGCATCATTATGTACATGGATGGATTTCCCATGCTCCAGTAGGGCATCGTGTGTTAAGCAGCACATGGGGATGTTGGAAAGGCACTCTATATATGTTCAAAGGCCTTTTCCACCAATGTGCTGGTCGTGTTGCTTGAAATGGAGCTTTGCAGACAGATCACCACTTTTTCTAAACTGATCTCTCTATCTCCTGCCTATCTGGTGCATGGGGAAGGCTGCTGTCCCCAGCGCTCCACTTCGCCGTTAGCCCTGGGCCCTCTGCAACAGCCCTAACTCAGATCTAGATGCTGCTCATGCAGGCGGGTGTGTTTTTAAACATCCTCTGCCTGAGATCCGTTGCTATACCATCTGTTGCTATAGGGTGCTTCCGTCACAAGGGAAGAAGCTGCAGAAGAGAGCAGGTGGAAGGAAGGAAGGAAGGAAGGAAGGAAGGAAGGAAGGAAGGAAGGAAGGAAG